AAAAATTGATTTTCTTGAAATTCAATTTAACCATTTAAATAAAATATCTTATGTTATAATGAATAGTACCATGTCTCTTAGTTTTGTCAAATTCCTTTTAGAAATGATATTTAATTCAAAATATAAATATTTTATTTCCAAATAATCTATAAGACATTGTAGGATTATTCTACATTATTTTTCCATAAAAAAAAAGAATTTAATTATAATATATTCAATTTAATTAGAAAATAATCAATATATATTAAACCATTAAATCTTGAATTAATGTCATTATTTTTATAAAAGTTCCATAGATTAGAAATCCATTTAATTAATTCAATTAAGCACTTAGTAAATTCATTTTGACCCTTAATTAGAGTTTTAACCATTTAAAATATTTTTTTAGACCTATGGAACTTTGATTCCAAATTAATTTAAACTTTCCTACTAAACTAACTCATTAAATCCATTTATTCATTAATCTTTAAATTCCATCTAATGCCATAACCAGTTTAACCATTTTTGCCTTATCATTTTAATTCCATACCTTTTACCGTTAAAAATTTACCTTTGAAACCACTTAGCTCTTTAGTTGATTCTTCCATTTGAACTTTAATTAATCCTTTTTACTTGGTCTAATAATTTGTTAACCCAATCCAATTATTTAAGTAACTAATCTATTATTCAAAGATAAGTTTACATGACCAAAATTAATCGAGTGATGCATAACATAAAAAAACCATTAACTATCCAAACAAATTATTCATTATTACAAACCAAAATTTGCCTAACCTAACATTAATTTACATGACCAAAATCAAGTTAGGCAAAGGTAAGTTTTCCTCACTCATCTAACATCACTAAGCATACATCATGACAAGTCAATATATCTTCTCACAGCTGGTCCTTATTTATCTTTCTTTTTGCCTAAACCATTAGAAACAAAGGTGAGTGATGCTTAATAAGTGTAATCCATATGATGGTACTCATTATTCATGCAATGCAAGTGATGCATTTTAAAATCATTATCATGTCTTTGGAAATTTATTTTCCTCCTTAACCGCAACATACCGATTGTGTATATAATTGGCCCTCTTTTAAAAAAATTAATTTGAAAAAAGTCACAAAAAGCACTAGACACCTTTCTTTTTCCTCATCCTCCCTTTTCAGAAAGAAAAATACAAATGGCATTCCTCATTCTTCCCTTTTTAGAAAGAACCCTTTTCCTTTTCCTCATGAGAGATTGATCATTTCCTCATGTACAATAATGCCATTTTCGTTTCCTTTTCCTTTTGAAGACGTCTAGACATTTCCTCTTGAAAACATGTCCTTTTTCTTTTCCTTTTCCTCAAAACCATAAAGTAAAATCTTTTTCATGGTCATGATATGCAAATGCATTAATGAAATGCATTCCTTTACCTTTTTGGTACCTTTTCCTCTATGAAATCATAAATATAAATCCTATTCCGTACTATGACATGTAAATGCATTTAATTAAAAATGCAATGCACCAATATAACCTCATCATGCATAATAATAAACCTTAAGAATATGTTACATAATTAATCAAACAAGTATATATTCCACATCAAACAAGAATGCATAAAAACATGTTTAAACATTAAACATACGAAGTACTAGATTCTGGTACCTAGGCCGAATATAACAAGCAACTCAACCTTATCATTTTCATCAATTAATCAAAAAAATTTCAAGTCATTTCATACCTCTAAAACTTAAGAACATCATTCAATTTTAGATTAATCATTTCCTCTTTTTGTTTCTATTTTGGCCGAATGGTTACCTAATGGAGGGCTAACTTTCATTTGGTCATTTCGCCTCAAAATTTCACATATAACCCTTTAATCAAACCTTAATTAATCAATTATACATCAATTAGGTTAATTAGATCAATCAACCTAAACTTCTCACTTAGGTTGAATTACTCCTCAAAGTGACTATACTTCAATTTTTTCCGAGTTCAGCACCATAAACACTCCTAAATCATTTCATCAAACACTTTAAATGCATTAACCACCCAAACCATAAATTTAAAATTAACATCTAATGTGCATCAAAAAGACTATTTTCTTATGGTGTAGTGAGGATTAAACTTACATCACCTAAATCTTGATCAATCCTTCACTCTTTTAGTTTGAAATCCTTCCTCTTTCTTCCTCCACCAAGTTTTGGCCGGATCCTTTTTTTTTCTTCTAGTCTTTTTGCTCCTCTAATCTAGTTCTAGGATGACTTTAGGATGTTTCTAGTGGTGGCTAAGATGGTTTGGAGCATTGGTTTGGTGAATTTCCTTTTGGTTTTCCTTGATCTTACCTTGGTGTAACCTTGAATTTTCTAAGTTTTGAGCCTCTCTTGGATCTTCTTCTCCCATATTTATAGCCAAGGTTTTTCTTTAAGATTAAGCCAAGTGTATGACACTTGGTTTGATCTTAAACCATGGCAATTAATGACCTCTCTTGATTTTTCTTCTTCCTTCTTCCCCCCCCCCCCTCTCTTCCTTGATTTTTCTTTAGATATTTTTCACTTCTTTCTTAATCTTTATGCCAACCTAACCAACTCACTTTTCTCTCCCTTTTCAGATTGTTCTTGGTGGAATTAGTCTCCCAAACTCAATTAATTAGTGCCTAAAACTATCATAATTTTACACTTTAATCCTTAAATTTTTAATTCTTATAATTGGCCCTTCTAATTTCAGCCCAAAACCTCACAATTTTTCACAATCTAGCCCTTATTCTAGACCTTTTCAAGAGCAATTAAAGTCCCTAAAGTTGCTTAATTATTTCAATTAAATACTCAAAGTTTTAATTATTTCAATTACACCCATATGCTTTGCAATTACATCCTTAGGCCAAAATATAACCATATCAATTACTAGTATCTATCTCTAATTCACCCTTTACTCATTCCATAATCCTTCCATTATAATCATACTTGTATCTAATTTATCTTTAATACAAGTATAGACTTTCATTTCTTACACTATTTAAATATTCCTTACAACATTCTAACATTTAAAGAGGATTGTAGGTTGAGGCTATTACACGCCAGCTCATTCTCCGCCACATCATGATCCCATAGTGGTATGCTGCAAGAAAATGAGTAGCATTGACAATAGCTCTAGGTGACAATAGACCGTGACTAAACTCAACGGATCTAAAAGATCAAAGAGGATTACAAGGTAGAATACCAACTTCTCTAGTAAGAGTTGCAAAGGACTTTGTAAGAGCGGATACATATTATACAACAATTGTTATGGAAGATGTAAACCTGCGTTCACCAGCCCTTCCCTCCCTATTCCCCTCCCCTTACCCATCAACCACCCTTCCCTCCCTATGCCCAGTAGTCGCTAGATGATGATGATGATGATCTCCCTCTTGTACCCCCTCGATCGGACTAATTATTTTTTTTAGCTTTTTATCATTTTCATACACTTTAGTGCATTTGTATATATTTGATATATTATTTTTATTTTATACAATGACATTTCATGTCATAATTTTATTTTTAGTTGTTACTACAATTACACATTAAACCACTAATAATGAATTAAAAAAATATTTTTCTTATTAGCAATAGATCAACGACCCACTAACGACCAAAAGAAAGATAAAATTATATCAACTATCGACAAACAACTATGAAATCTCGTCACCATATGACCGACCAATGGAAATAGATGTTATTGACAAATCACCGATGGATAGCAGAAATTTTCATCGGTATATTAGCGACACCAAACTACAGATTAGCAACTACATTTAGTGACCAAATTATGTGAGGAATTTTTGTCTCTATGTGGCAACATAAGTAAAACAACCTATCGACGATATTGCGATAGATGTTATAATTAGAAACCGACTGTTTTTATCATATTTGTGATGAAAGTACTTCACTATAGTGGCAACTTGTCCGTCGCTAAGATTACGACAGATGGTAACTTTCGTTGCTAAAATTATTAGCTACAAGTGTTTTACCCATAGGCTGATTTTGCCATCATTCCATCGCTTAAAGAAAATTACAATAGAATATATAGGTTTATCAAAGGAATTTTTCGTCACTAACGGCTTAATTTTTTTATAGTGATATAGAACTACAAAATGGTAGTGTAAGACAGCCAAGTAGTATATTTTCTATAAACCACAGTATATTTCAGTTATGTTCTCTTTGTAAAATTAGATGTGAATGTTTTACTCTGAATTCCAAGAAAATGCAAGCACTCACCGGGTTACAAAAAAATGCAATATAGAACTACTAAAATCATATATAGTACGGGAGTGTCAACCAGCAAATGTTTTTTACAAACAACAATATATCCTTATTATCTTCTTTTCGTAAAATTCGGTGTGAATATTTCTATACCAAATTTCTGTATTTTTAATTAATGTGTTATTCCCCTGTCAACCAATCATTTTCTTAATGATTATCAAAATGGAAATATGGAATACGACCCATATGTTTAATCTAAGAAAAATGAAAACGGAAGACAACCCAAATATCTACCCACTGTGTGTTGTCGCAAAAGCCAGTGTCTAATGCTTAGTTTCGTTAAAGCGAACATTTTTTTTTTTTTTCCAAATAAATTAACCATCCTGTTTTGGAAAGGAAAACAAACAGTCCTGGACAATCCTTAATTACTAATCCTGAAGGCCGGAGTCTAGAAAGGAAACCTCAGCAAGTCAAATGTAAATTATTTCCTACCAATAAGAACCAGACTGTAGGGGGCTGATTATGAGTATTAATTCATACAATAGTCTAAGCATCATAGTTGAGAAGTTGAACAACGAAGTACCAACATACAAAATTTTCCTGCCAACTTGAAACTAACCCTTAAAAATCTTCAACCCCCCCCCCCCCCCCTCCCCTCCCATTCTCCACATCCTAAATCTATAAAACCCCATCAATTGCACAGAAACTACAACTGCACATAACACACTTCTTACAGTTTGTGATTTGCTAAAACTCGCTTTACCTCAAAGCCATTGCTAGCTATCTCCACAACCATGGTCAACCATAACTTCCCATCATTCATTTTACCCGTTATGGTGATCAGTATGTCACTGATGAACAGCCAGACAATTCTGGCAGAGGCGCGCCAACTCCTGGAGGTAACATTGCCTGAGCTTCCTAAGCCTGAATTTCCTGAGCTTCCCATACCAGAATTACCTGAGTTTCCTAAGCCTGAATTGCCTACGCTTCCAAAACCAGAATTACCTGAGCTTCATAAGCCTGAGTTGCCTAAGTTGCCTGAACTCCCAAAACCAGAATTGCCGAAGCTTGAAGTGCCAAAACTGCCTGAATTGCCAACTTTCCCCCATTTGCCTGAGATGCCTAAGCCCACATTGCCAACCATTCCTAAGGACATCGACCCATCTCACTTCACTTCTAGTCCTTGAAATTAGAATGATCTCTCCACATCCTTCATCTTTGCATGGTGTATTATTGTCTTGTGTGATGGTAATTAATTATAATGTTCTCTAGCTATTACCTTATGTAAGTCTTTCTTTTTATTACAGAGGAGCTGTATTGTGTTATCGGTACTTGTATTTTATACCTATATTTACAGTTACATTATATGTAATGGATACACTTTTCTTTTGGTTCTGAATTTTAATTTGCCATTTCAGTAATCACTTCAGATACATATATGCAACAATCCATCCACAATTACTAGGGAAAAAAAAAAAAAAAGAATTCTTAATTGAGTTATCAAAATAACAATAGTAGGATTACTTAGAAATTTTTTTTTTTACTAAATGTGAATATTGACTTGATTTTATCCCAAATAATTTTGATGGATTGGTTTGATGGTTAAAAAAATATATTTTATTTTTTTGAATTTAAATTTTAGAGTCAGTATTTATAAAAAATTATTAATTTTTTCTAAATGTATCTTATATTGTGAAGTTGTGAATATGTCTTTCCGAAGTTTTCTCAAAACTCGTTGATGTAACAATCACGTATTGTTTTTGTATTTTAATTTTCTGTATCAACCAAATACTAGAATATATTTTTCAATTGTTTTTTATGTAATTGCCAAAAGGCAAAAACTATTTTTTTGAAAAACAATTTTCTGAAAAATAGTTTCTTCGAAAATTGATTATTCTATTGAAGTTGTTTTCCACCAAATAAATGGAGCTTAAAGACTTAATTTTTTTTTTTTTTAGAGTGATATAGAACTACAAAGTGGTAGTGTAAGACTACCAAGTAGTATATTTTCTACAAACCGCAGTATATTTTAATTATATTCTTTTTGTAAAATTAGATGTGAATGTTTTACTCGAATTCCAAGAAAATGCAAGCACTCAAAATAAATCAATTATCTCATATTTGGAGCTAGAATATGCAAAGATTTACTCATTATAAGACAAGTCCTTTATTCGTTATTTTTAAAAAACAAAATAAATCAACATGTGTTTAAGTGAACAACCTTTTTTTAAAAAAAAAAAAGAAAAAAGTTAACCTTGTTATTGGTTTAATATAGAGAATAGTGATTTAGTCTTTAATTGGAAAATATATATTCCACAAAAATTTCCAACGGTATATTAGTGACACCAAACTATGGTTTAGCGATTACATTTAACGACCAAATTCTGCGAGGGATTCTTATCTCTATATAGCGACGGAAGTAAAACAACCTATCGATGGTGTTGCAATAGATGTTAGAATTAAAAACAAATTATTTACATCATATTAGTGACGAAAGTACTTCATTGTAGAGACAACTTGTCCGTCGCTAAGATTACAATAGATGGTAACTTACATCATTAAAATTATTAACAACAAGCGTTTTACTTATAGTCTGATTTTTCCTTCATTTCGTCACTACAAGAAAATAACAATAGAATATTTTGGTAACCAACTCGTGTTTGTTTGGGGAAAACAAGTTTCGAAACTTATTTTTTCATTTTTTAATGTTTGTTTCGTGTTTTGAAAAAAAGTCAAGGAAAAATGATAAATTATTTTTAGGAAAAATGTTTTCCGAGTTCAAGGAAAAAGAAAAAAGAAAACAGCTTTATTTCTCATTCTCATGAGCCGTCTTGCTCTCGCGTTAATTACCTCTTTCTCGATATATTTTAATAATTTTTTTCTATCTTCTTTTTATTTAAAATATATCAAATTAATTTTTAATTATTCCTTATCAATTATTATTAATTATTTAATTATTTTTTCTCTATTTCTACTAACATTTTATTTTTTTCTTTATAAATACATTAAATATTCTTAAAAACCATCTTTGCACTTTAAAATTATTTTCTAATAAATATTTCAATAATTTATCTCTATTTTTTTACTATTATCTCAAACACTACCTAAACTATACTTAAATGATTAGAAAAGATTACTACAAGACCGCAAATTATTTGTAAAAAAAAAAGAAAAAAAATTGAAATTAATTAATAAATAAATAAAGACATTATTTTTTCAATACTATTCATTTGCAAAAAAAATCAATAATTTATTATTTTAATCAGTTGTAAAATTTTGTTGGTAATTGTATTGAATAATTAGTTACCAATTATTCCAACATTAATCTTTTGAAACTAAATGAGTAATTATCTACAAATGATAACTAATAATTTGTAAAACCATTTTTAGACAAAATTATCAGTTCAATTTTAAAAAAAAATTCTTAATTGAGCTACTAAAATAATAATGCTAATATTACTTAGAATTTTTTTTTATTAAATATGAATATTGACTTGATTTTCCGTAAATAATTTTGATAAATTAGTTTGATAGTTGAAAAAGTATATTTTATTTTTTGAATTTAAATTTTAGAGTCGGTATTTGTGAAAATTTATTAAATTTTTATAAATGTATTGTATATTGTGAAATTGTGAATATTCCTTTTTAAAGTTTTTCAAAACTCGTTGATATAGCAATCACATACTCGTTTTTATATTTTAATTTTCTATATCAACCAAACGCTGGAATATATTTTTCAATAGTTTTTTCATGTAATTGTCAAACAAGTAGAAATATTTTTTGGAAAATAATTTTCTGAAAAATAGCTTCTTCAGGAATTAATTTTCCTATGAAAGTTGTTTTCTATCAAATAAACGGAGTCTAAAGACTTAATTTTATTTTATTTTTATTTTTTTATTTTTATTTTTACTTTTTGCTGTGATATAGAGCTACAAAATGATAGTGTAAGACTGCCAAGTGGTATATTTTCTATAAACAGCAGTATATTTCAATTACGTTCTTTTTGTAAAATTAGATGTAAATGTTTTACTCTGAATTCCAAGAAAATGCAAGCACTCACCGGGATTACTGAAAAATGGAATATAAAACTACAAAAATGATAGTACGAAGTGCCAACCAGCAAATATTTTCTACAAACAACAATATATCCTTAGTATCTTCTTTTGGTAAAATTAGGTGCGAATATTTCTATTCCAAATTTCTCTGTTTTTCATTAACAATGTGTTGTTGCCCTGTCAACCAATCATTTTCCTAATGATTATAAAAAGGAACATGACCCATATGTTTAATCTAAGATATATACAAATGAAGTCGGAAGACAACCCAAATGTCTTCAAAATAAATTTGGTTGCAAGTGTCTAATGTTTAATTTGGTTGCAGATAACAATTTTTTTTTCTCTTACAAATAAATTAACCATCCTGTTTTGGTAAGGAAAAAAAGAGTCCTTAATTACTAATCCTGATGGCCAGAGTCTAGAGAGGAAGCATCAGCAAGTCAAATGTAACATATTTCCTACCATTAAGAACCTTACAATACAGGGCTGATTATGAGTATTAATTCATACAATAGTGTAAGCATCATAGTCGAGAAGTTGAACAACTAAGTACCAACATACAAAATTTTCCTACCAATTTCGAACTAACCCTTCAAAATTCCTCTATTCTCCACATCCTAAATCTATAAAACCCCATCAATTGCACAGAAAATACCACTGCACAAAATACACTTCTTACTGTTCGTGATTTGCTAAAACTCGCTTTTCTCAAAGCCATTATATTGCTAGCTATCTCCACAACCATGGTCAACCATAACTTCCGATCATTCATTTTACCTCTTATGTTGATCAGTATGTCACTGATGATCAGCCAGACAATTCTGGTAGAGGCACGCCAACTCCTGGAGGTAACATTGCCTGAGCTTCCCAAGCCTGAATTTCCTGAGCTTCCCAAGCCTGAATTTCCTGAGCTTCCAAAACCAGAAATACCTGAGCTTCATAAGCCTGAGTTGCCTAAGTTGCCTGAGCTCCCAAAACCTGAATTGCCGAAGCTTGAAGTGCCAAAACTGCCTGAATTGCCAACTTTCCCCCATTTGCCTGAGATGCCTAAGCCCGCATTGCCAACTATTCCTAAGGACATCGACCCATCTCACTCCACTTCTAGTCCTTGAAATCAGAATGATCTCTCCACATCCTTCATCTTTGCATGGTGTATTATTGTCTTGTGTGATGATAATTAATTATACTGTTCTCTAGCTATTTCCTTCTGTATATCTTTCTCTTTATTATAGAGGAGCTGTATTGTGTTATTGTTACTTGTATTTTATATTTATATTTACAGTTACATTATATGGAATGGATACACTTTTCTTTTGGTTCTGAATTTTAATTTGCCATTTCATTAATCACTTACCGGGAAAAAAAAAATGACTCGTATGTGCCCATTAAAACCCAAAAATAAAAAAATTACCTACGTTAACAAGTGATTAATGTGAATACGTTCAGAGTTTCTTGGAGAAATATAATTGAGAAGTCTCTAATTGAAATAATTTGAATGATATCAAAGATGAGCATTATGTCAACGTACTGTTCTCTGCCTTTGCAAGTCTAGTTGAAAGATATTAGATACGGGCGCAGATGATTATCTCATATTTGGAGCTAGAACAAGCAAAGATTTACTTATTATTGGACAAGTACTTTATTTATTCAAAAAGAAATAAATCAGCATGTGTTAAAGTTAATAACCATTAAGAACAAGCAAAGATTTACTTGTTAAAGTACTTTATTTTCTTATTATTATTTATTGTATTTTTTTCGTATAAGAGTTTAACATTTATGATTCAATTTTATATGAAAAGAAAAATACAGTTTAACCATTCTTTATATATATATATATAAAGAAAAAAATTAATCAATTAATTAATTGAGAGTTAAAAAAAATAACAGCATAACTATTCTTAAAATATATATATATAGTTTAACTCACATAAAGTGTTATTTAAAAAAAATACAATTATTGAATAATGTAAAGAAAATTTAATTAATTAATTGAGAATCAAATATATATATATATAATATATAATATCAAAATTAAGAAAAAAAAATGAGTATTATAAAACGCATTTATTAATGAGTGATCTTTTGTAGTGTAAAAGAACAATCCTATAAATCAAATAATTTTTTATAGAACA